AGGGCAGGCTGGCCTTGACCGCACAGAGATTCCCCTGCCTCTGCTGCACAAAGGCTAAAGGCATGAGCCACCACACCTGGCTACAAAACACATTTAATCCAGATAAAATTCTTTAAGGAAGGGTTCATGTCCCTCAACAAGAAAAAAAGTGTTCCTTAACATTATTTGGGGGATGGGTGCTTCATCCTCAACACCAGAGGCATGATACTATTATGAATGACAGCCATCAGTACATGCTGCCCATCCCACTGTAGGCCATCAAGCAGGATTATATTAACACAATGTATGCCGAATGAGACACCTGACTTTTTTGTGTATCATCACTCTCCAGGAGGGTCCATTATTTGCTTAGCACCCCAAGCCTTCAGAATTTTTTTTATTTCTTTGAAATGGATTGTATGAGCAAGGAGGGTCAAGATCATGATGGGGAAACCCACAGAGACAGCTGACCCAAGCGAGTGAGAGCTTAAGGACTCTGGACTGACAGTTGAGGAGCCTGCATGGACGCATCAGGCACTCTGAATGTGGGTGACAATTTTGTGGCTTGGTCTTTTTGTGGCTCCCCTGGCAGTGGGACCAGGATTTATCCCTGGTGCATGAACTGGCTTTTTGGAGCCCATTCCCTAAGGTGGGATACCTTGCTCAGCCTTGATACAGCAGGGAGGGGCTTGGTTCTGCCTCAACTTGATGTACCAGGCTTTGTTGATTCCCCATGGGAGGCCTTACCCTCTCTGAGGAGCCAGTGGGAAGAGGCAGGGGGAAGGCAGAGAGAGGGAACTGGGGTTGATATGTAAAATGAATAAAACCATTTTTGAAAACAAAAAGAAATTTTCTTACATGTATATACTAAATTTTTGGTTATTCACCCCTCAGTACTATGTCAAAATATTTTGTTTGATTTACACTTTCATACATTCATATAATGAGTTGTAGAAGTTTTCCTTCCCCCACTCCTCTCTCTGATGTCCTCCCACTCTCACTAACCCCCTCCTTCTCATCAAGTCCCCTCATACTTTCATGTCTCCTTTTTGTAGCCCACTGTTTGATTAGCTACTATCCAAAATGCGGTGGGGGGGGCAGTATTTTCTGAAGGGCAACATATCAGTGGGTACACCACTGAAGACAATGACACCCCTCCCTCAACAATCATTAATAAATAGTTTGGGGGAGGGATGGGACCTCACGAGCCCCTCCCCCACCCATGATGCAATGTTGTCAGGCTCAAGCTTGTTCTTTGCAGATAACCACAGCTGTAGTGAGTTCATAACCTGAAGATATCCTTTTGCTTCGCATTTTACCACCCTCTGGCTCTTCTATTTTCAGCCCCCTCCTCCTCAGAGTTCCCTGAGCCTTAGAGAGGTTGGTCTAGCTGCCACATTTAGGGCCAAACATTGCACCATTGTGTTTCTCTGATATTATAGCCAGTTATGAGTTTCTGCATTAATTGCTGCCTACAGCAGCAAGCACCGATCCATGGGAATAAATATAAGTTTTTGGAAGGCAGTTTGATTGCACAACCATAAACAGAAGTAGTAGGTTTCTGTCTAGGGCCTATGACCTCCCCAGCCATGGAGTCTTGATGAGGTTTACAGAGCCAGGCATGGATTTCCTCTTGTGGCGCAAGCCCTAAATCCAACCATGAAGTAGTGGTTATCCCTATAACAGCCGTGCCTCTGTTATGCTCGAGGCACATGTTGTTATTGTAGCTCGCAGGACTCACAGCTGGGTAAAAGGCTATTGATGACTTTTCTCTCCTCACACTCCCCCTGGCTTTATTTCTCTGTCATGTGATCTAGTGTGCAGTATCTATTTCCAGCAGTAGGGTCTTGTCATAAAGCTCTGGTGGACAATCAAGAACAATGACAGTAACCCGTACTATTTCAGGGGCCTCCGGGGCCTCCGGGGACTCCCTGGCCAACCATTTTTAGGAAAAATCCCAATACTGGGATTTTTCATTTAATAAATCATGACTTCTAGTAGGAGCTTTGTCCATCCATGAGCGACATCTTTGTTCAAACTCTTGTTTTAAGATTTGTGTAAACCAGGCTGGCCTTGAACTCACAGAGATTCACCTGCCTCTGCCTCCCAAGTGCTAGGATTTAAGGCATTCACCACCACTGCCTGGCTTTAGATTATATTTTTACAGGTTTCCATATGGCTTTTTATATATCCTTAGTTTTGGTTACCCTTCCCCCTTTTAGACTCTTGATTTGATTGAATACATCAACCTCTTAAAGGAGCCTCCTGCTTCTGGCTAAGCGTGTTCCTGCCCGTCGGTCTTTTATCCTTCAGTTGGAGCTGTGCTACTCTGTGAAGACCCCTGGTTAAGAAACTCTCTCATCTATGTAACTTTCCAATTGCCAACACAGATGTAACCATATAAACTCACCATTCTCCCCTCCCTATCCTAGAAAATGTCCAAAATCAACTGACCAAAACCAAGGAAAAACAAGCACAACTCCATTTTGGTGAAACTAAGAAATATACTCCAAAATATCTGTGCATGCAGAAACCATGTTGGAGAATAGGGCAGAGTATGAGAGAAAGGGCATCAGCAGAGCACCTTCAGAGTCTATTCCTAGTTTGAGGAGCACCCCAGGATGCAGCACTCTCTCCTTTGTCTACAGCATTGTGCAAGAACAAGTGTGGTACACAGTTGGGAATCCTCCCTCGCCCCGGCTCAGAGCATAGAGATAGAGGAGGTGGGATGCATGCAGAATTATGTGGATAAGCCATGCTTGCAGGAGGGAGTTTGATTTTGGCATGGCTTAGAAGAAAGCCTTCCAGTTGTGAATAATAACTAGCTTGGAATGCTACCCTGGGCCCATTATAACCCAACTCATTAAATGATAAATAATAAAAATGGATTAGCATAGACTGCACACAGAGATAGTCTAAGGAAAATAACAAAAGAGCAAAATGTATTAACAGAAGAATCATATTCTTTATAATAATGTTTCTGGGAAAAAGATGAACTTTGAATACAGTAGCTGGCGTTCATCTGTGAGGGCACATTCCAAGACCCCCAGCACATACCTGAAACCACAGATGTAACAGAGTCCATATCCATTGTGTGTCTTTACATACATACACACATGCATACATACATAGATACATACATAATACGTACATACATATATACCAATGTAAATTTTAATATGCACAACAACTGATAAAGCTGGATACTTATAACAGTATCCTATAATAGAAGTTATATGGGTATGGTCTCTCAAAATAACTTGGCTGGGGCTAAGAAGGTGGCTATGTGGGGAAAGAATTCTCTGTATAGGTGTGAGGAGTTGACTTCCGGTCCCTGAACCCACACAAAGCCCGATGTGGCAGCATGCACAGCTGCAGCCCAGCAGCCTGGAAATGCATAGGCCACCTAGTTTGCTGTATTCAGCAGAGAAGACACTGTCTCAAACAGTGTGGAAGGTGAGGACTGACACTCAACATTATTCTCCAGCCTCCACTTGCATGCCCACATTCACAGACACAAACAGGCACACACACACACACACACACACACACACACACAGAGAGAGAGAGAGAGAGAGAGAGAGAGAGAGAGAGAGAGAGAGAGAGAGAGAGAGAGAGAGAGAGAGAGAGAGAGAGAGAGAGAGACACAACCACCCCCACCACCCCCACCACCACCACCACCATCATGAAAGCATGAAGACTATAAGCATGTATATGTACAGAACTGTATTTTCCTGCATTGTGCTCATCCCCATTGTGATGTAAGATGATGCTATCCTTATGTAAGTAGGTGAAGAGGGCAAAGGTGTAAACACTTAGCACACACTGTGGCTGTCACATTTGTAGTAACACACTTTCTTTAACACTGTCATAGAGAATGCTTATTCTTCCTGTGGATCTTAGCAAATTTGCCACATAATTTTTTCTGTCCTATTTCAACTTTGCCACATATTTTTTTCTGTCCTGTTTAAACCAGGTAATTTCTTGTTTCACTTCAAAGAAGCATGTGTGAAGGCCACTTAGGCCATCTCAGTTGCCAGCATCACTGTCCTCATGCTGTAGAACTGCATCCACCCTTTGACTATTCCTACTCTGGGGACACGGGTGAAGCACTGTGGACATGCACCAGACATCAAACCTGCTGGCCCTTTGATCTTGGCTCTTCAGGCCTCCTGACTGTCAAAAATAAATTTCTGTTCTTTGTGAGCTGCCATTTTCTAGCATCGTCTTTTAACACAAAAAGACTATGGCATTCCTTTTACATACCACTTACTGCTCTGAACTCTGAAATACAACAGTAGATGAAGTGTGCGGAATCCCTCTCCTCCTCATACGTCATTCCTTTACTGAAATGTCTAGTAATCCATCCTTCAGAACTCTATGTGGTCATAATTTGTGCAATTACTTTACCATCCTACTGCAGAAAGATAAGATAACCAAACCACTGCTGACATTTTATACTGATGTGTAACCGTGTTCACACTGGGGCAGTGTAGTTGACCCTTTCTCCTTCTGGATGATTTCATATGCATCCTGCCTACTCATCCATATACCTCTGACACTCTGTCACTCGTCCTCACCCTGTATACATGCCTACAAAGGCTTTTCCTCAAAGGTACCAAGCAGCTTTCCTCATCTACCAGTCCAGGAAGCCGATTATATAGGTGAGTGCCCTGAGCTCAAGTCAGGACCTATATAGAATCCAGACCTATTTCAATTCCTCAAGGTGTTTTTTTTTTTTCCCAATCCCCTATTTTCCATGTAGAGTCAACCAGAAAGCCAAGAACTCAAATACTTGTGCCTTCCAGGCTACTCAAAGACACAGTTTCCAGCCCTAATTATTGAGGATAGTCTGCCAATGGATTGCTCCAGCTAATTGGTACAATATTGTCATGGCAACAAGCAAGACTGGGAAGCCAGATCAGTGGTGACACAATCATTTGTTTATATAGGTACAGGCCACAAATATACTAGCGGTGGCACTGATCATCTATAGCACAAATGCACACTCTGAAGGTTCACTGTGTGCTTGTTTGCTTGTTTTCTGAACGTTCACCCACCATGACTAGGACACTGCAACCTCCATTAAGAGAGTGACTGCAGCTTTGCTGATCACCATTAGCTGTGCAATATCCAAACAGTTCCTGAAAACAAATGTCTTCAACACATACATATTGAGCAGGTAAATTGAGTGGCTGGGATGTTAAACAAGAATCCTCTCCAGACTGTAAGGTCCGAAGACAAAGGAATCTGTCTGATTCATTTTGGTGTCCATATTGGCATAATGTCTAGCATCTGAGGAGGCATGGAATCAATATATTTGAATGCAAAAAATACGTGAGTGAAAAGTGAGCAAATTAATCAGTGTATATTACCTGCACTGGAGAGTCAACCTTGTCTTCCCATATAAATCACCTGGGAAGCTTTTTAGACCTCACAGTGCCTAAAACCAGATTAACCAGGATCTCTAGGAATGAATCTGAGGCAAGAGTGTATTAAATTTCTGCAGGAAATTCCAGTGTACCGCCAATTAAGGACAGTGTGAGCTGCTGTTCAGCCTTACTCATGACTTAAGCATCTCCCTGAATGAAGGAATTTCAGTGCTAAAACTGTCACTGTCCTAAACAACCCAGGGTGGTTCATCACTTGTGCTGATTCAAACTGTCACCTAGGACAATTCTTGAATGATGTATTTTCAATTTTTTTATTTTTTATTTAAATTAGGAACAAGCTTGTTTTACATGTCAACCCCAGTTCCCTCTCCCTTCCCTACCCCCCACCAACCCCCATCCTATCCCCTTTCTGTTCCCCAGGGAGGGTGAGGCCTTCCATGGGGGATCTTCAAAGTCTGTCATATCATTTGGAACAGGGCCTAGTCCCTTCCCCATGTGTCTAGGCTGATAGAATATCCCTCTACGTGGAACGGGCTCCCATAGTCCATTCATATATTAGGGATAAATACTGTTCCACTACCAGAGGCCCCATGGACTGCCCAGTCCTCCTAACCGACACCCACATTCAGGGTGTCTGGATCAGTCCGATGCTGATTTCCCAGCTATCACTCTGGGGTCCATGAGCTCCCTCTTGTTCAGGTCAGCTGTTTCTGTGGGTTTCTCCAGCCTGGTCTTGACCCCTTTGCTCAACACTCCTCCCTCTCTGCAACTGGATTCAGGAGTTCAGCTCAGTGTTTAGCTGTGGGTGTCTGTGTCTGCTTCCATTAGTTACTGGGTGAAGGCTGTATGATGGCATTTAAGGTTGTCATCAATCTCATTATAGGGGAAGGGCATTTAAGGTAGCCTCCCCACTATTGCTTAGATTGTTAGTTGGTGTCATCCTTGTAGATCTCTGGACATTTCCTTAGTGCCTGATTTCTCTTTAAACCTATAATGGGTCCCTCTATTATGGTATCTCATTTCTTGCTCTCCTCTATTCTTCCCCTGACTCAATCTTCCTGCTCCCTCATATCTTCCTCTCCCCTCCTCTTCTCCCATTGTCTTTCTCATAGCTCCCTCTCCCCTCCCCCCATGCTCCCAATTTGCTCAGGAGATCTTGTCCCTTTCCCCCTCTTTGGGGGACCATGTATGTCTCTCTTAGGGTCCTCCCTGTTTCCCAGCCTCTCTATCAGTGAGAATTGCAGGCTGATAATCCTTTACTCTATATCTAAAATCCATATATGAGTGAGTACATACCATGTTTTGAAAAGCCAAAGTTCATTGGCTTCATGTTTTGACATTTACCTAATTACATTCAGGGCTGTAGCTCACCTTGACCTCTTCCTCCATGGTCTCTTGCTCAAGCTTGTGCTACTCTTGACTTGGGTAGCATACACATTTGTGACATATAAATGATGCAGGGAATAACTAAACCATCACAGTATGTAAGCAACAACCAAGGGACCAACTAAGAGAAACAAACTGAGTCCTCTCTCTCTCTCTCTCTTTCTCTCTCTCTTTCTCTCTCTCTCTCTCCCATCCCTCTCTCCCTCTTTGTGTGTCTCCCTCTCTCTCCTCCCTCCCTCTCTCTGTACATCTCTCTCTCTCCCTCAGATAAAAATTAAATCTATATAACCATTATTTAAAGAGAAAAGAAACAGTGCAGATGATGCTGAAAGATGAGTCAGCCATTCAGAGCACTTGCTGCTCTTGTAGAGGACAAAGGGTCAATTCCCAGCATGGTGGCTCACAACCCTCTATAACTCCAGTTCTAAGGGACCTGGTACCCTCTTTTGACCTCCACAGGCACCAGGCAAGAACGTGGTATATATACATACATGTAGGCAAAACACTCATACACATAAAACAAAATAAATAAATCTTAGAGAAAACTGTATGGAAGTTAGGCTCTTCGGAAAGCTAAGACCAGACCTACTGTGTGATGTAGCTATCCAATGACCAGGTGTAGCTCAAAAAGAAATGAAATCAGTACAGCAAAGAAATACCTATACTCTTGTGTTTGTTGCAGCAACTTCACAATACTCAGGATATGGACTAAATTCAGATGTCTGTCACCAGACAAATGGCTAAACAAAATGTGGTGTGTTTATACAGAATGCGAAATATTACGCCTATGGAAAAATATGCCATTTGCAGCAACACAGATGAAAATGGAGGACACTGTGCTAAGTTAAAAAAAAAATCAAGCTCACCACGGCAAATACTGCAAGTTCCTCTTAGATTGGGAAACTGAACATTGATATCACAGAAGTGGAGAGATAGACAGTGGGAGAGAAGAAGGGAGCAGGGGTCTTTAATGTACTCACAGGTACAGCCTGCTAAAAGCAGTGACTGTGCTATAGCGCTGTAGGAAAACTAGAGCTTACAACTGACTGCATTATTGAAAATAGACAATAGAGGGGATTTTGAATGGTCTCAATGCACACACACAAATGTTCTCTGATGTTCTCCATCTAATCTTATCTGGATAGACAGGGTCCATATGTCTATATGTCACACAATAGTCCATAAAAATACACTCACTGTGTCCATTAAAATTTTTAAAATGTACTTTTAAAAGAGGGAAAAATAAGAAGCAATTATAAAATGCCACCTTCGCTGGGCATTGGTGGCACACTCCTTTAATCCCAGCACTCGGGAGGCAGAGGCAGGTGGATCTCTGTGAGTTTGAGGCCAGCCTGCTCTCCAGAGCGAGTGCCAGGATAGGCTCCAAAGCTACACGGAAAAACCATCTCGAAAAACCAATAAATAAATAAAATGCCACCTTCCAAATGAAATCCCAGTGAACCCTACAACTTTTTTTTTTCCTCTACAAGATAGTAACATACATTTTCACATATTTCAGTTACCTTAGCATGAGTTTGCAATCCTGGTTGTCATCTGAAAAAAATAAATGATTTTCCTAGTGGAAAATTCTCTGTGTAAATCAAATTAATAGACATTATTTCAAAAGGTACTCATTTCACTCCCAAGAATGTGGCATACACTAAACCCATCAACTTGTGACACCAGGGTCAGACTTGTGAAGGGAGTACATCCCAAAGCTCTCAAGGAATCTGTCGCTCAAGGGGTAGTTCCCAGGACAGGAACAGCAGCATTTCCTGAGAGGCTGACAGAAATGCACAGAATCAGGGCTGGGATGTACCTCAGTGTGGAGCACTTGCCTAGGAAGGGTTCAGTCTCCTCTATCACAAAAAGAAAAAAGAAATGCAAAACCCCAGACTTAACCCCTGAACTCCTGAGTCAAATTGTGGAGGTGAGACACAGGTTCTGCAGGGGCATGCCAGACTAGACATGCATGCAACAACTGGAAAAGTACTGAAAGCAGTCCTCTGCTGGACACTGTCTGCACAGATCACTTTGGTTTGTTTATTTGTTTTTGTTTGTTTTCAATAGCTGGTTTATTTTTATTTTTATGTACATTGGTGTTTTGCCTGCATGTTTGTCTGTGTGAGGGTGTCGAATCCCCTGGAGGTAGTTACAGGCAGTTGTAAGCTGCCATAAGGTGCTGGGAATTGAACCCAGGTCCTTTGCTGAGTCATCTCTCTAGCCCCATTTGTTTGTTTGGTTTCAAGATGAGGCTCATCCTATAGCCTAGGCTGGTCTAGAACTTATTACATCATTTCTGTCCCAGCCTCTCAAGAGCCACCATGTCTAGAGGTTGCCTGAGTCTCCCCCCCCCCCCCTCTGTGTGTGTGTGTGTGTGTGTGTGTGTGTGTGTGTG